AAGGAAAACCTCTTTCAGTGTATTTTGAATCCAATGAAAGTGATGTTTTTTGCTGCAGGAATCAGCCGCTGAGATTATTCTGACTTCAGGAAAAAAAAAAATATATATATATATCCTGCAAATTCAAATCTTAAAGTTATTCAGAAAAGGAACAACTTTTCCTGTGAAACATTTGAAGACTGTGTCCATGTGAAAGATGTTAGAACAGGCACAGTCTGTCTGTCAGTCCATCTCGATATCTGTCTATTTACCTCCCTCTCTACCTGCCTTTCTATCTGTCTACTTATCTACCTATTAATACAGATATTTAGTTATTCCTCAAAACCTTCAGAAATCCTTCTGGAACACTCTGCATCAGCTTTTGGGGGGAACTTCCCACCTCATACCACTGGAAAATAAGTATCATCCTACCCAACCTCCCACAACCCAGACTTGGCAAGTATAATACCAGCTTTCTGTAAAACTCTGTGTAAATGGCACCAGTTCCCTATATATAGATTTAAAAAAAAAAAAAGAAAAAAAAAAAAAAAAGAGAGAGAGAGAGACATGGAATACAAAGATTTGGGATTTGGGAGGACGTCCTTTCTTGTATTTTGTAGGGAAGGTTGCTCTCAGGAGCTCAACCCGTTTCGTTCCATGCCATGAACCTTCCAGGGTTTGGACTTCATGATCCAGTTTCTGACCTGTCTCTAAAATGGACCCAGTGTCTCCAGAGGAGCTCTTGGAACCCTTTTGCTTTTCTAGGAACCCAGATACCAGATAGGCTCCAGCCATAAGTCTTCTACCACATGATACTTTTTATTAAAAATGAGACTACGGATGGCGTCATTTTCCAAGTCAGCCAGCAAAAGCCAGAACTCTTTTTTCCCACTTCTATATATATATAAAAAAAAAAAAAAAAAAAAAAAAAGAAAAGAAAAGAAAGAAAAAAAAAACAACAAAAAAAGATGAATTATGATAAGAATTTCTGCAAAAAACAGATATTTCTGGAAAAGGTCAGAGTTCTCCACAAAATGATTTAGTATTTAAAAAGACCATTATATAATATGAATGTCTACAGCAGAATATATTAAAATCTTAAGCAATTCATGCTCTGCTTTCTTCCACTTCCCACTGCTCCTAATAATACTCTTTGTTCCATTCTAAACAAATCTTTCCCATTCTTTGTTGTTTTTACATCTTGCAAATGCTCGTAGACAGTTCTGGTCCCCTTAGTCATAGATTAGACAAATTGTGCATATTGTTTCCTTTTAATCTCATCTCCCTACTGACTTTTTAAATACTTCTAGTTGTTCTACACCATCCTCTGCAGTTTACCAATACTTGCCTGGTATTTTGATGTGCAGAACTAGCATAATTCCACAGTGGGAGTCAGATGACACCAGCACATACAGCCCTTTCTGTTCAGTAGCATTTTCAGAGAAGAATCTCCTTGCTGCTTACATCAGAGCATATGATTTTGATTTTGAGAAGGCTGTAGCAAAGAATTAGAGATAAGGCTTAGGGCATGGGTGATGCTTGGCGAAGGGCTGATGTTTGGGTGCAGATGTTTGCAAGAAGGGAACAATGAATTGTTCTTTGAAACTAGGTGGGTGCAGTGTATCTTGATGTGTGATCAAGTAAGGCAGGGACAAAAATATTCCTGGCATAGCCTGACCATGACATAAAGATAGCCTTTGTGTTTTCCAGTGTATTTGCAGTTGGTTTGAGGATCTTGCAAGGAGTCTGTAATCTCTCCTTCCACTACAGTAATGGCTGGCTTAAATGAAGACTTTTATTTTGATCTCAAAGCGCAAAATACAGATATTTTCTATACAGATATCAGCTCTGGACTATTCTTTTTTTTCCTTCTCTCTGATATCAGCTCTGGACTATTCTTTTTTTTCCTTCTCTCTTTATACAGCAGTGAGCATCTCTGTTGGATTCCCCTCTTTGTCGGAGGGGTATGTGGGGTTCCCCTCAGATCTGAAGAACCTGCTACTGGTTATTAAAATGAAAGGTGAAAGAAACCCCAGACTTGGGATTTGATTGAAATGGTGGTAGCATGTGACCAGAAAGGAGACTGTGCCCCTGAGAACTATTTAAAAATGTCCACTTGTCAGCCAGCTACCACCTTTCCTCTGAGTAGATAGCCAGATGAACACTGGTTGTCCCTTATATTAGAAAGAAAACCTTCCATATGATTTGTGTTATCATAAACACAATGGCAGGAAAACATTTAGTTCTTCTGATGAGCCAGTTTTTATGGCAACTGAGCGAAATTAGGGTGATCACGGAGGGATATGGAGAGCCCCACTGACAGTTCAAAGGAGGCTGTAAGAGAAATGGCAGGAAGCAGAAGGATATGGAAGGATGCTGAACGTTTTCTGGAGACTACAAGAGTTGATAAATTGTCTCAGTTCTTTTCATACATGTATATCTGAACTAGAGAAATGGAAGAGAGATGCTGTTGATACTTGCTCTGGGATATGAGGATAACATTTCCACTACCAACAATTACTGTGCTGATGTATAAAAGACTAACAATAAAAAACTCATCTCAAAGAATTTGCAGTATAAAAGAGAAGAAATCACAGATGCGCGAGGAAAATAGGAAAAGAGAAAAATAAAAAGAGTGTTCTGAGTTTAATTGCTCCAGCTGCTGCATTTTTGCCTTGTTGCCTTGTTCAGGTTCAAAGAGGACTTTGTGTGCTCCATTCCCCTGCATTTCACTAGGAGCAATAAGGGACTAGCAAATTGCCATCAAGAGTGTCCTGTAGGCTTGTGGAGCCCTTTCTTGGGCAGACGGGGCTCTCCACCACAGTCCAGCTGGTCAGCAAGGAACAGCTTTAACATTTAAATGTTGTTTATATGAAGCTGGTGATGAGAGCCAATGATGAGAGTTTTGCAAGGCAGACATAACGATGATAGCTCTGTTTACCAATATCTAAGTGGCACATGAGATTTGTGAGATTAACCATTAGCTTTGCATGGGATTAACCGCTGAAACAAATCAAACAATGTGATGAAATTTAAATTTAAAAAAGAAATAAAAAAAAAAAAGAAGAAGGAAAAATTAAAGAAAAAGAAAAAAGAAAAAAGAAAAAAAGAAAAAAGAGAAAAAGAGAGAAGAGAAGAGAGAGAAGAGAAGAGAAGAGAAGAGAAGAGAAGAGAAGAGAAGAGAAGAGAAGAGAAGAGAAGAGAAGAGAAGAGAAGAGAAGAGAAGAGAAGAGAAGAGAAGAGAAGAGAAGAGAAGAGAAGAGAAGAGAAGAGAAGAGAAGAGAAGAGAAGAGAAGAGAAGAGAAGAGAAGAGAAGAGAAGAATTTCTAGTATTTCCCTCTACTTCTGCCACCTCCTTACTTTTTTTTTTTTTTCTTTTTCTTTTTTCCATGAAATGCTGGAATTTGTCCAAGAGCATTTGGGTGAATTGACACTGACATATGTGGGAGCTGCTGCTTGTGTGAAGAGACGTGGTTTTCCTCTCATCTAAATCTCAGTGCAGGAGGGAGCAGCTCCCCAGAGAGGCTCTGAAGAAGGTCAGCTGCTGGAATCAGAAGAGGCAGCAGGGGAACAGGGGGGCTTAGCTGGGACCAGAAAGGGGCTGAGAAAATTCTGTTGCAAATGAAATGAGAGAAGGTTTTATTCCCAGAGAAAGTGAAATCAAGGTAAATGATAAATCTATGTGAGCAACAAGGCTGTCCTGCCTGGCTGGCTAACATCTGAGAGAGAAATAGGCATGCAAAATAAATATTCCCTTTCATACTTATTATTTTAAGGAGTTTCACATGTAATAAGCTAGTCTGTGGTCTTAGGCACAGGTGAGGGTCTTCACAGGCTGGTTCAAGGAGAGCTTAGCCAAGATGCTATTTAGAGAAGGAAACCTAAGGAAGGGCCTAAGAGGGCTAATAATTAAGTACAGCTACGCTGAGGATTTCATCCCCAAAGCAGGGGCAAAAGAGAGGGATTGGGATATATATAAAAAATAAAATAAAATAAAATAAAATAAAATAAAATAAAATAAAATAAAATAAAATAAAATAAAATAAAATAATAAAATAAAATAAAATACTTGAGGTGCTGAGGAGCTCTAGGGGCATGGCTGAAGGTTTAGAGGTTGAACCTGGTGGGGCTTTCCTCATCTCTTACCTTATTAGTGAGGCATGTTATTACATATATATATATACACCACTTCAGAGGATTTATAGCTTTACTATTTATATAGAGAGAGAAATCATCATAAAGGACATTTCAACAGCCTTAACAAATTTATTCTGTTAAAGACTTTCCCTTATTCCTCTAACAGGGATATAAGGGAAATCAGTTCATGGTGTCTGTAACCATCATCTGCCTCTACCCACACTCCTGGCTGATGAAAAGCTGTTACACAGCTGTGGTTCATGCGGTCCTGAGCCCTGGCTAATGGGCCATGCTGAGAGACAGAGAAGGTTCACTCATGCTTGATACGACGAGTGCACAGCATTGTGCTTTTGACGGATGCAAAGCACAGTTTTATTACTGTCCATCACAGGGAAATAACCTTAACAACATCACCTTGCCATGGGAAAAAACACCACGAGTGAAGGGAATCAAATACTAGGGAATTTAGTCCCAATTTCCTGGCAAAATAATGTTCTTTTTGCCTTTTATAACCTTAACGACATATATGGAGACAAAGAGCAAAAGGGCAAATCAGGACCCGTAGCTGTTGGCTTGAAAAGTGTGCTGGTCAGTCCCTGCTCCCCTGCACTCCGAGGGCTGGTGGCATCTGGATGTGGGTGGGCACCGGTGACTAAGAAAGGTGTTTTGCAGAACTCCAGCTGGTGAGGAATGTGCCGCGTGAGACTCAGAGCAGTGTACACAATGCCAAGGAGTTTCCATTGGGTAACCGGTCTGCATTTGGATTGCTTTGTATGAGAACAAACAGCCTGCACAAAGCAACCTGCCAACTTCCATCAGCGTTGCATCCTTTTAAGGCATTACTTTTTTTTTTTTTTTTTTTTTTTTTTTTTTTTTTTTAACAGCTTCACATGCTCCCAGGCAGGATCGTGTAGCAGCTCTGAAATCAATGAGGCATTTGCCATTTCCCTCTCACCTTGCCCACCTGTGGATTGGCACAGGCCCATGGCTCAGGATTTATGCCTGTGGATTTCTTCCTGCTTGAACATGAAAGCAAATGCCACTTTGGCTCATCTTCACTCGAAGAAGGAGAGGGGGCAGGGAAACCTCCGATGTCATAGAATATCCCGAGTTGGAAGGGACCCATAAGGATCATGTCCATACAGTTGGGTGAGTTATGTTGGGTGGTAGCCCCCAGCATGTCCTGGTGCCTGGGTTTTTCCTCCCCAGGTACAGGACAGTGCAGTTCTCCTTGTTGGACCACATGAGGTTCTTGTCAGCCCCTTTCTCCTTTTCTCCTTTTCCAGGTCCCTCTGGAAAAGCAGCATGACCCTTTGGCATATCTGCACTTGCACAGGAATCCAAAAAGTTTCACCAACATAACAGGTATGTGCTGATCCCCAGACTAACTTTGCTGATGGAAAATATCCTATTTCTACAAAGGAAACCTCTTCAACCAAGCTGCTAAGCTGCAACTGGAAAACCAATAATAAATGAACCACGGCAAGTCAGTGCAGAGATGATAGGGCCAAGGGCTTTTCCTGAGCAGGTCATCCTTGCTGCAGCTCTTAGGGATGTCTTCAGCCACATTTAATTCACGCTCCCCGTGTGGGGCTGAGATCTGTGACTCTAATTAGTTAATTTAGAGAAAGAATTTCTTTCATTAGGTTCCCTTATTATTCATTCCTGATTTTTTTTTTTTTTCAGAGGGGGGAAGCAGTGGTTTTAATTTTGTAAGACATTTATCTGCGGGGAAGCACAGGGGAGAGGCAGCTTGGGTACAGCCTGTGATGTTGGATGGAGTTTTAAAATCACAGCTCTGTGTGCAACAAGTCACAGAGAAGAAGCTTCCCTTTGCAATAAAGAGCTTTTCTACCACATGGCTCTGCCCGAGCCAGAAGTGTCAGAGATGCCTGTATATGCTCCTGCCTATATGGACCTGGTCAGGTTGTTAGGATGCCTCTGCCACACACCGAGAGCAGGAGCAGAGGGGGACAGCAGTCTCTGGCTTCTCTGTCTATGAGCGTTGCTGCCCTCTCCTGGCTTCAATGCAGATAAGACAGGGGGAAATCAACTTGGGAAGGACTAGGGTGCCAGCAGGGTATGCAGGGATGCAAGGCAGAAGGGGAGATGCCCAGCCTGATGCTGATTTGGGAGGAGCAGCCTCATCTGTGCTTCCTGCAGATGCTCACCCCAAATCATCACATCCACTGGTTTCCTGCTGATCAGCTCTTGCTTCCCAGAAGCAAGATCTGCAGAGATGGCAGGATCTGTCTGCAGAGGTCTCCTGGGCTTCTCTGGGATGTGGGAACAGGGCTGCAGGTGATTCCTCTTGAAGGCTGGACTTTCACCTTGAAAACAGGATGATTTTTGCACTGCTTCTAAGAAGTGGGGCTTCATAATGATCTCACAACCATAGAATCATAGAATCATTTATATTGGAAAAGACCTCTAAGATCATCTGGTCAAACCTCTAACCCAGTACTGCCAAGTCCACCATTAAACCATGTCCCTAAGCTAACCATGCAGCAAGGGATTTAGGACTTGCTTCTGCCCAGCATTTTCTGCCCTAGGACATTTCTGCTCTTCTGTCTGTGCTTCTCCTCCTCTGTTGGTGAATCTCTGAACTGCAGGACAAGTTCTATAAGAGCAAATAAACTGAGCTAGCATCTGTTTTCTGTCCCTGAAGCAAACTGCCTTAACAAAGATTGGGTTCACATGGCCAAACTCTCACGCTCCTTTTCACTCTTCAGTCAAGGGGCATATCCCTAGTGCCTTCAGGGACTCATTTATGGCCTGAGATAACTTACAAGGTAAGCCAAAGCATGAACAGAGAAGTTGGCAAGGAGAATCCTTTGTAAAACATCCTGAGGATTTTGCTTCCAATAGTTAGAGGTGAAATATGAAAAAATTTGTGGCTGCCAAGCTGTTGGACCAGAAAGTACACATATCTTTTGTGGCTTATTGGCATGAATCAGATATGTCCAGAAACATGGGGTTGCTCTTCAGTTCATGTGACATGGTCTCTGGAAGATGACCATCCCAACCAAGTGACCATGCCTAAGGGAGCAAGGTGTCCAGGTGCACCATTGCATGGCAATGAAGCATCAGGGAAGGCAATGAAAGTGTCCTGCTGTGGTGCCAGGTTATCCCTTGGCACTCTGTCTCTTATTGAGATGTCCAAATCTTCACAAAATCAGCTCTCACCTTAACAGAGCTCACCCCTGTGAAAGGCAACTTCACCAACTCCATCTGGGAACCCCCTCAGAAGAGGGAAAAAAATAAAATAAAATTGGAATCCTCTCCCTCTCCTTTCCATTGCAAGGGAAGAAATAAAATTAGCCCTTGGAAATAAGCAAAAAGCTGTGCTAATGATCATTTTATCTTAAGTCAAGCAACTCAAGCGAATCATCCTGCACACACTTGAACCCCCCTGACTGAAGGTCAGCCAAAAGAGAAGAGAGCTATTTAGAAAAGAACAGAGGTAAGTGGATAAATGATAGCTAATCACATGAAGAATTGAAGAAAAATGAAAGGGGAGTTCTGAAAATAAAGGGAAGCATCCAAAGCCTATTAAGGAGCACTCAGACTCTGGAAACCTTTGTGTATGAAGCTGTACAGAGCCTGCATCTCTTGATCTGAGTATGAGTCACCCCCATAGCCTCCAAACTCACCATTTTATTTTCTCTCTGAGTCAAATGTGCCTTTCCAAGAAGGTAGCAGTTTCTCCACCTGCACCAAGCACATTTTTTTTTTATCTCCAGCACACTTGAATCTTCAAGCAGTTTGCAAACATGTGGGGGGAAATTTCTTCCTGCAGCAGATATAGAGACTTGGAAGGGATGCAGAACTGTCCATGTTTAATGGTGGGTCAGCTGAAACTCAGTCTGGGTTTGCTCCTTCATCCACTGTCACACAGCAAATGCCAAGCATTTCTGTTCCTGGCAGCGCAGCCAACAGTCGTGATTCCTTGGAGCCGAAAATAGGCTGGTGCTGGCAGCAGCTGATGCTTTTGCTCACAGTTCCCGACTGAGTGGGCTACCTAGAGAAAGCAGATGGCCAGGGAGGAACTCCAGCAATTTGCTACAAAACAGCTAAAAGTCCCCTTTCGCCCACTGCTGTAAGAGCTCATGATTTCATGACACCTAGTGGGCAAGTCAGGCAGAGTGAACTGTGCAGAAAGTCCTTCGAAACACACCACAAAAACTGGGCTTGTAAAAAAGCTGTTGTGGGAGTAAATATGCATTGCTATTTGGATGCCCTGAAAATAAATAAATAAATAAAAATAAATAAATAAAATTAAAAAGAAAACAACACTGTTTTTCTCCCTTGAAGGAGTTACAACTTCAGTAGTCATTACAGGTGGAAAAAGGGAAAGAGAACAGTTTTATGGAGAGTACATGTATAAGTGATTTGAGGAAAATCTTGCAATGGGTTAGCTTGATAGATCTGAGGTTACAACCAGGGCTGTAAGGTCCTAGACTGAGCCCTCTTCATCAGTCCGTCCTGCCTCATGGTTTGAAGATTTGAGGTTTCTGAACAGATGCATAAGTGCAAAAGAATGAGTAAAAGTTCCTAGGAGAGACTTGTGGACCTATTTTGCCTAATGAATGAGAGAAACCAGGATGGTTACCAACAGGCAAAGTGTGACACCAACACATTTAATCAAGCATGCAATGTTTCTCCATCCAGCGTTAGAGACAGACAGAAAATAACACTATTCATTCCCTATTCATAGACTTTTAAACCATTTTATAGATTCATATTCCCTAGTTTAGATGACTTCCCAAGGATAAAGCACTTATTTTCCTAAAAACTGTTTAATAGTCTCCATTTCTTATAAAAGAAAGTTCTGGTAATTTATTTGGCTGGATATGTCAACATCTGGGCAGATAAAACCCATCTCAATGGCCGGGCATCCAGCCCTACCTGCTGAAGAACACTGCCAGCTTTAACATAGGGCCATGCTATCATTTATTGATCTATTTACTGTCTCAAAAGCTGGCGAAGGAAATGGCCAAATGTAAGACGGATTTGCAGGTCTGAAGTCCTCTGGTGTTTCACAGTGGATGGCCTAACTCTGATGCTTTGGTTGAGGCTTATTCTTAGCAGAGGAAGTCAGCAGTTTTGCAGACTTCTGAAGTTGTAGAGGATAAAACCAGTGATGGTAATGCAACGATGTAAGAGAGGTCCAATTTCATACTTCATGGACCTCCTGGGTGGAGATTACATCCTTCTCTTTTTCATTCTTCCTTTATTTCTACGAGTATCTCTAAATACACTCTCTGACTCTTCAGCAGCTTTAACATACATCCAACGTCTTTGCTTTCCTGCACAGACAATTACTTACGTCATTCTTCATCCTCCTGTAAATTGCAAAGGCAATTTAGTTCAGTTGCAAAAGCCAATTTTTAACCTATACCTAAAGATTTTCCCTGAACCACCTCATCAAGAGAATCCCAGGAGTTCCTATTTGCTTTCAGAGATGACCTTACTGATTGCTGTTGTGTTGTCTTGCTTTACCTTCTGAACCTGGCTGTTCCTTCCCAGAAACGTTTCTGTTCCCGACTTCCTGAGTTGTAGAGGAAAAAAAAATTAAACAAAACTTTCGCCTTTGAGCCAAGCACAAATTAGGAAGCTGAGCAGACATAAATGCTCACTGGTCCAAGGGAGAGTGGATTTGTAATCCAAATTACTGTGGAATAAAAGCATCATCCCTACTCTGTTCTCTAATTTAAACATCGTCTCCTGTTCCTTTTCCCTTTTTATTTGACTAATTCAGTTACCTTTGGTCTAAGGGCAAGGAAATCTCATTTGCATATTTTAGAGGACATTAATTACAAGTCCTTTCACTTCAAGTCCTGATACTCCCGTGCTGACTAGGAGCCTCAGTCTGACTGCAGTCCTGGTTCCTCAGAGGGTCGTTAATTATTGAGCCTATTGAACTATACCTGAACATAATGAGCTCAGCAATGAGCAATGCCTCCCTGGGGGTACAGCCCAGGGAGAGGAGAGGTAGTGGGAAGAGGACAAGTCACACAGCAGCAATCCCAGTTTGAAAAAAGGTATGACCATGAGAGGGCCAGAACATGTATCCTAATGAATTATTAGGGCATATTGAAGCTCCCAAATCCTGCCAAGACTGGCTGTCCCACAAAGCCCAGAGTCAGTAGATTCAGGATTCCAGCCCATACATAATTCTTTCATACACTGACATGAGCACCCCTTTTCTCACTCAGTTCTTCTGCTGTACTTACAGGTGAAATGCAGGAGCCCATTTGGCCCATAAATTTTTTCAAGGTAAATATTTTGAGTCTTCTCAGTGCAGACATGAAATAATCTCAGTTACCGTGTCTGTGGTGTTGGTGGCCTTGTGTACTGCTTCAGATGAGGTGTCCCACCTTCCAGTGCTGGCAACCAGTTGCTAGCTGACCTGTTGAAGGTCATCTTATGTGAGCAGTCACCTCTTGTTGTACCTGCCAGGAGTCTGAAGAATTTGTTTGGAGAGTATCAAACAAAGGCTCTTTTGGTAATTCTCCTGCCTTTTTTTCTTTGGACTGCTCACCTTCCTTACATTTGTGTTTTCTGGGCTCCACTGTTAGGCAAGGAAGAGTGTTGAGTTAAGCCTGACCATAATGTTACTGACCATACTGTTATTTTTCACCCTTGTATTTGTGTTTTCACCCTGCAGTTGCTCAGGTTCAGAAGTTACATCTAGGCTGCTCCACTAAAAGTTTCCAGCTACATTTTCTGTCTCACTGGTACAAAATAACCTAACATAAAACCTCTCTATCGTGAAAATCAGGGTGATTGTGTACAACCTCCTTCACTCAACTGATACCCGACAATTTTCTAGGAGACTGTTAGCTCCCAAAGGCAAAGAAAACATGAAATGGACAACTCCAAAAATACAATAAGGCACAGAATTTATTTTTATGCTTTGAAAATATTACCTGAACTGTTCTTATGAAATGAAGCTTGGGATGAACTCACTTGCAGTTGGTTCATCCAGACCATGGGAATGAAAGCTTGGACTCATTTTCTGGTACTGAAAATATTCAAGATCTCTCCTATCTGGAGAACTCTCTGATTCTGATTATCCTGTCCATGTAGGTGGAGAATGGATGAGTCTGGTCTTCATTCAGGATATGGACCAAACCTGACCTTATGTATGGATTTAGATTTTGTGCTCTAGGTTATAAAATATTTCAGTTGCTTAGAGAACACTCTCCACCTGAAAAGCTCATTTTCTGAGCCTTGCCCAACACCGTTTGGAAGACAGGCCCAAAAGGATGGAAGGTGTCTTAAGAGGTCATCTGGCTAATCCCCAAGCAAGACAGGGTTTCCTGTTCCTGTGCTTGACTTCCCTCAGAAAGTATTGCAACTCATCTGTCCTTTGGCACTGGCAGTAAGCTCGGGGTGTTATTTATGGAGGTAAGCTATGGCAGTGCAGGGATGGCTGAGGGATGTTTG